GTGACCGGAGCGCGCGGGACCGCCTCGTGCCTCCGCCGAGCGCGGGGTGGGGGACGGCGAGTAGAAGCTGCGCCACGGACTGGTGGAGGCGGACCGAGCTGTATGAGGGCGGCCGGGGGGATGCCCTAGCGGCTGTGGAGGGGATCGGAGGAGGACCGGGGGGAGAAGCGATCTCCATGTTTTCCCCGACTCAGGAGGAGCACCTCGCCCCCAACAAGGAGCCCATCAAGTACGGGGAGCTGGTGGTGCTGGGGTGAGTCATCGCCGCTCTGTGTATGTGTGTGTGATCGGCCGCTAACGTCCCCCTCCCCAGTATGAGATGTGACTACAAACGGCACATCGACATCGTACAGCCGTCAGGCATCTGAAACTCATTATAATCTAACCGTAGGATCAACGGTAAGATCCCTGTACACGTTACGATCTGATTGTACAATATGCCAATGTAGTACTAGGGCCTGCCTGATTGGATGCAGATCGATTGGGTCTCTTATTACAGAGTGCATTGTACAGATATTGTATGGTCAGATTGTAACGTGTGTGCTGAGCCTCAGGGAGACCACACAGGTTACAATCTGACTGTACAGTTTCTGTTCCATCAACTTTAGATCTACTAGAATGATGTAAAATGAGGGCCCGCCTATTCTGCGTCCAATCATAGAAGGCCCTCTCATGACATAGTTTTTTGGTAGATCTAAAGGTGATCGTACAATCAGATTGTATTGTGTGTGGTGAGCTTCATCGTGTATGATGAGGCTGGAACGTTTCATGTCATTGGTGTCATGTATGTGCAGCGTGCCTGATGATGACTGGCGGAGGGGGACATCTGAACTCTAGTCTGTTGCTGCCGGTTGGGTGTGTGGTCTCATAACTGGTGCCGGTTGGGCTTGTGGTCACATGACTGGTACGTTCATGGCACCGTCACGAGGAGGTGTTGTACAATCCAAGGACAGGCCAGGATGGGGGGTCTCTGGTGCCTCATTGGGGGTCTGTTATTCATTATTGTGACCGTCAGCCACTCAGTCTGTGACTTCCACTAAACGTACTTTACCGAAAGAGTAGTTGATGCCGGGAGCAGACTTCAAGCAGGAAGGGCCCATTCACATCAGACGGTTGGTGTGAAAATCGCACTGGAAGCAATAGTCCAGCGCAGGCCTCACACAAGGCAATTTACCCGGCCGTGGATGAACACTTTGCGGTGCTATGCGCTGAAAAATATTGGCATCCGGTCGTTTTATTCAGCGCAGTGGGATGTGACGTGGTACAAATGCCTCGTACCCCGCTGTCCCTATAGAACTGAATGAAATGTCACTTGTCAATAAAGTTCGGAGAAAAAAAGTGCACAGTGTGATGTGTGGGGGGTCAGCGCTGTGTTGGCTGCCATGCGATTCAGCTCAGCGGATGGTGTAAATGGGCCCATAGTGCTCGGGACAAACAGATCGGTATTCAGACAAAGAAATCACAAACAAGAAGAATGTTATATAAAAAAAAAAGAAGCCCAGGGGCTTCATCAAATCCCAGACAGGATCTGGGGCTCACCATAGCCAATCAACTTCTCTCTTCAGTTTGTTCAATTATACTTTGAAAATGAAAGCTTGAAGCTGATTGGCTGCCGTGCACAGCTGATCCGGTCTTAAAGTGACACTAAACACAAAAAATACATTCAAGGACCTGAACTAATAACAAAAATGTGTCTTATTTGTGTATCACTCGGCTGTAGATCCTCCAATCATCTCTGAATTGGTGCCGACACTGTCCTTCCTTCTGGAGGGGGGCTACTTTTATCCTCCTTGGTGCTGATGTCGAGTATTTGGGCAAGTACCGATGCCTAGCCCGATACCTGAGTATCCGGGATCAGTAAGCCGGGCAGAGAGTCAGTACATGCTGCCCGGTAAGCCGACTCCATGCTCCCTCGTCACTTGGTGTATCCGGGCAGCGTGGTAATGAAGCTGGCCAGTCAGGAAGATGGGCAACAAGTCGTTAAACAGCGCCCGGCTTCCTGATTGCCCAGAAAGCCGGCTCCATGCTTCATCACCTGGTGACAAGGGAGCATGGAGACGGCTTCCATGCTAATTGGGAAGCCGGGTGGCGAGTCTTTACAGGCTTCCTGGCTTCCTTAGTGGGACTTCCTGTGGCGGTGCATCCCTAGTCCCTGTGTGTGTTGTAAAGTAGCCACCGCTCTAAGCTACCTCCTGTGATGGACTACAATCTCATTTTTAGTTTATTCATTTGTATTGAGATTGTAGTCCATCACAGGAGTGAGCTTGGAGCGGTGACTACTTGTTCAGCCAGCCTATGTGTGTCTCCATGTGTACCCAGCTTTAGTAGATTCCCCTCGCCGTCTCTCTTTTGGGCTTCTAAAACTTTCAGGTTTTCCGTTTGAACGCACCCATTGGGGCTGATTTGTGAAAGAAATGGAGGCCGATCACCTAGGTGAAGGTTGGTGACTAAGGTGAAGCTGTGTTATCCAATAGTGTGCGAGCGATAGGCAATAAAAAAACAAAACAAAAACACTAAGTGCTCGTTCACCCCAAATGCAGACCAGATGTGCATGAGTATCTGCACACGCAGTGCAGTGGGTTGTGCTGCGTTTTTGATGCGTTCCGGGCCGTTTTTTGGTTAAAAAACAAATACCTGACAACCCGAAGGCCCCTTTCACACGAGCGGTCAGGTTGTCAGGCTTCCAACCCTCTGGCAGATTATAAACGGACAACAATGCATCTCTCTGGCAGTGCAGATGAAAGCCGATGACCATCAGGAACCATCGGTGTCAGTTGAGGTCCGCAATTGGAGACGGATCAGCTCTCCGTTTTGACTGACCCGGGACTGATGGAACGTGATGATCAGTTTACATCAGCTCGGGTGACGTCCGTTTTTTTGGGACTGATGTCGTAATGCAGTATGACAAGCTCAATGCATGCTGGGGGAAAGCAAAGAATCATGGGAATTAACCATAATAACAAACAGTCCCAAACGGATGTAAAGTGAACTGACAACAGATGTGCAAACGGATTCAGTATTCATCAGGTTTCTTGTATCGGTGAACCTGGACTGGAACAATGACGCTCGTGTTAAAGGGCCCTCGGGAACTTCAGAACTTCTAAGCTATCTTTGACTTGTTGAGAATGAAAGTGCAGAGAAATGAGCAAACGAGAAGACAACGTGGAAATATGGAGAGGAGAGAAGGGAGGACCTGTCTACCCGTGCGATCCATCAAATTCCTGTCCTGAGCCGTGTTTGTAAACGTTCATCAATAGAAGTAATAAACGCAAGTCACGTGTGTAGGTGGATGTAGCTGTTGGAGTGATTTGTATCATATACAATGTTTGGTCATTCTTAGTGCCCATTCACACTAGGCGTTTTTTATCGCGCGATTTTGTGCAAATTTGCCGCGCGCTATCGCGAGAAGTTGCCGTCCAATGATATTCAATGGAGCTGTTCTATTGAACAGCTCCATGTCGCTCGTGCAGGACCCTTTTCCCGTGATTTTTCTTTTTTGCATGCAGCCCGACGGTGAAGGTCGCGCGATCGTCGTCCCCGGCCGTGTCCGCTTGTAAGGTATGTCGCTTAGGCCCCATTCACACTGAGCGGATTGCCGGCCAATGATTTTCAATAGAGCTGTCTTAATGTACAGCTCCATGTCGCAAGTCGCGCCTGCAGGACCTTTTTATTGGCGGATGTCGCACAATTTTTTTTTAGCGCAGCCCGACGGTGAAGGACGCACTATCATCCATGGAAAGTCGCGATATCCTTGCCGCGTGGAACCGTTCCTAAAGCTATGTCGCTCAGTGTGAATGGGGCCTAAGAGTCCAGAGATCAGTATCGTTGGAGCGCAGAAAGTGATATTCAGGCTGGCCTCCGATACCGGAACTTATTACTGCACGCTGCCCGGCTTCCTGATTGGCCGAGAAGCCAGCTCCATGCTCCCTCATCACCAGGGAGCATGGACCTAGCTTCTCAGCCAACCAGGCAGCCGGGGGTAGGGTAATGGATCGCCAGCCAGCTTCCTGATTGGTCAGGAAGCTGGCCAATCAGGAAGCCAGGTGGCGGGTCATTACCCGCCCCCAGCTTCCTGATTGACCAAAAAGCCTGCTCCATGCTTCCTTGTCACCTGGCGGCGAGGGAGCATGGAGAAGGCTTCCCAGCTTATCGCAGAGCCGGTCGGCAAGCCATTACAAGCCATTTTGTACTCGGTATAGGCGAGTACAGAAAAAAATATCTGTACTCGATACCAAAGAAACGGTACCGTGCATCCCGAGTGAACAAGAAAAACATTCCGTGACCCCATTCTTGCTAAAGAACATGAATGGGAGAATCCCTCGCCAGGCTATTGTGTACTGGTCAGAGGACCTGTGCAGTGATTGCAGCAAGAACTGCAGCCAGTCAACTTTTGTTTAGTGGGGGGTCCCGAGGAGACCACACACTGCTCACATTTCAGCATTGTCACCAGGGCTTGGTTTTGGATGGAGTGGAGAAGGATTAGAACACCTGTCAGGTTTTTATTGCGGTCTGTGTCCCCTTTAGGGAGATTCCCCCTTAGGGATTTCCTCTTACTTCCTTTTGTGGCTATTGGACAGGAAATGAAGGGAAATCTCTCCAATGGGGCCAAAAAAAGAAAAGGTGACCGTTAACTCTTACTTCCTCCAAAACTAAAGGAAACAAGGTATGGCTTCAGTTCTACTTTGTGTTGAACATTAGGGTGCTGCCCCTATGTTGGTGACTGGAACATCAGCAGTTCATTACACAGTTGCTTCCACACCCCAGCAATGGTACGGTCGGTGTAACTGTTTATCTGCGAGCTCTAAAACTTGGCAATCTCTGATATTGTTGCAGCATACAGGCCGCCTGGCACTGGGGATGAGAATCGGGCTGTGTGTTCTGGTAAATGGCCCAGTTCCTGTGCTGTCTATACTCTCATGTAAGGTCTCTCTAGTTTAGGGAAGGTTGCGGCAATATCTGGCCAGTCACATGGTAGCTGCGTGCTGTTACATTTACCCCTCCATGGCTCTTCAGCAGGAAATGTCCCAGAATGCTTTGCAGCCTGTATGTGCCCAGAGATGCCCACAACGTATTCCTCAAGCACCTGGAGTACTACGTGTATCCTATATGGATTTTTATAATCAATAATAACTTTGGTTACCGTACATTGTAGAAATTCTCCAAACCGTGTGCAAACGCCTGTGAAAAGTCTGGACGTTTGCAACAAACCAATTTGCTGTTCGTATTTAAGGTCACCATACACCTCACAATCTG